AGAAAGCAAACTTCAGAGAAAGAACATCTTACAGAGTTGTCATCTGTCTCTATTACTTTGTTCAGGATTTTTTTTTTTTTTTCATTTAAGAGAAAATCAGGAAGATTCCATAGCAAATACTAGAAAAAAGAAATCTAGATATTGGACAGTGCATAATATATCCTGAATTTCATATTCACGCACACATAAACATCAGGACTCTATATTCTTTAAAGAAGAATCTTTTGTAAACCTGATGAACTAGAATGCCAGCTGAATGCCAGCTGAATACCAGCAAGGTTTTAGGCCTAAAAGCCAAAGAGCCCAGGAACTGGTCGTATATCAGGTGTTTCATGTAACTATAATTGTATTCTCAGAGTACTACAGATGTAAGTCTAAGTAGATTTTCTTCAAAGAAAAAAGATTTTGATTTACTAGATGTTTAGTATATGTTCCATTTCTTTTCATATCTTTTCTCTATTTATAAAGAAAATTATTTTCTCCTGTTCTTGCCCAGCAAATTTTCTAAGTCCTGCAAGTCAAGACAGTATTTCATGTCTTTACCAATGGGCTGCATTTTGAAGATTAACACAGTTTGTGGGAGTTCACAGCGCAGTTCACAAGTACCCAGACTGCATAACAAATTTGCTACCATAAAAGCTCTTTGAAACCTAGAACAGGACAAATTGCTTAGGTCCCTTGGTAGCAAGGAGCACAGGGACTGTGGGTAGATTTAATTTCACCTAACATTAGCCATCCCCAGTTAGATGTCTCAATTAAACTGCCTGCTTAGCCTTTCTCTCCAGTGAGTGGATGGAAAGAGACAGGTACTTCCAGACAGTAAATCATCCCATTTCAGGATACTTTTCCAGACTAATGGGATTAATTGCTACACTCATCACAAGACTTTATAAGTTTATTTGGGTGTAGAACCAGTTACTAACTTTGCTTTTGTTATCAGAATATTACTCCTTTTTTAGCTTTTAGAAATATTGTCAGACTAATAACACTTGTAATTTTGGGCTATGCTTTTTTTTCATAAATTTGAAGTGTGGCCTTATCTTGAAGCTCTCATTTACTGACTGAGGAATTATTTAGGACCTGTATATGTTCTTGGCCTGTATTGCATGCAGCCACTAGTAGCCTTATCCCAAGAATGAAATAGTAACACTTATTTCCCTGAACTCTCCTGTTGAGCCATACTCCATTGTATTGATTTCCATGTATTCTTTTAAAAGTTCTTTTTTTTTTTTTCCTGGCTTCTCACTGTTATTTACTGTGTTCAGTAGTAGGAATCTTCTGAGAAAACAGTTTTCCTGTGAGCTGCATATTAAAAAAGTATCTTTGCACACATACTACATAATTTGTTCTTCTTTTATCTGTGCCACTTTACTGCTATGAGAAGTACTTGCTTTTTCCTTGGTCTCACTAGGATTTGGAGACAGTCTGATGTTTCATCAGCATTCCTCACATTCACGCTCAGGTCTGGCTATTTGCTTGATGATTGCACCTGAATCTACATCAGATTTTCTCCTCTCACACTGACTGCTGCCTGGGCAGCAGTGTGCAGACCACACTGCCATTTTTCCACAACTTCCATCTCAGATATGAATCTCACACATCCAGTTTCCAGTCTTACTGCCTTTGCAAGTACAGTCCACTGTGATTCTTAAACCTTTCTAAAATTTTCAGCAAAACTTTGTGGTCTTTTAAAACAATTGGTGGTCACCTGCAGCTCAATGAGTTTGACCTCTGTTCACAGGTGGAGGGAATGAGGGAAATGGCCAGGACATAAAGAACACCTTCAATGAGCAGGTAATTAGGGAAGTCAGTCTTAATAAGTTTTTAATAGTTGGGGAGGAGCTTTTTATATCTGCATATAGCTGTGAGGTAGCTTAGGGAGCTGAAGTGAGCTGGGAAAGTAGAATGGGTATAAAGTTAGCTAAGAGTGGGACTTGGCTAGAGGCTCTGGAGGTGTTGATGGCTGTTTGGTTTAGGTTGTTACAGTGATGCTGTTAGGGAGCTCTACAAGACCAGGGAGGAAGGTTATGTCCAGGGCTTGTGCTAAAGTGCTAATTGTGCCAGAGGGAGCATTCTTAAATATTCCGTGTTTATGCTCCTTCTTTCTCAAAAGAAGGAGTGATGTGGGAGGTGATTTTAACTGAAGAAAGGGATGTGGCTTAAAGGGCTGAATGCAGCCTGTGTTCTCCCTGGTAAGATAGCTTGTGAATATGCAACATCTTGAGGTCTTTGAGGTCCAAGCTGTATGCAAAAGCTACTCATCCAGCAGAGAATATGGTCTGGCTTATGACCTATGCTGCTAGGTATCAAGAGACATATCCTAGAGGTAGGTGGGTGTCTAATTTCTAATGATTACAGCAAAATATGTGTGGCGGTGTGTGCATTTGGAGTTTGCTCGTGCATAACATTTTAAGTCACTTGCTTTAAGTATTTTAACTATTGAGATGACCAGGGCTTGTGGCCTGGCCTTCAGATTTTTTCCTGTTGCCCTTTAGAACCTGGACAGAAGCTTGGATGAAAGTATTTTCTAGATATTTCAGAATCTATTCTGAATAGATACAGAAGGTTCTGAGCAGTGCAAGCCTTTGCTCTATAACCTGGTCATCTGGTTGCCTTGGAACATACAAGTGAGCCTGTTTCTTGGTTTGTGGATTGAGCAGTGGGGGAAAAAGCCTGGGAGGGTAGGGAAAAGTCTTTTATACTACTATTTGCATTTTTTTTAGAAGCGCCATCTTAATTATATTGGAAGATAGAAGTCATCAAATAAATACTTCTGAAGCACTAGTGTTTTCTTTTTTGCAAAGTTAAAAAAAATCTTCTGCTCTTGTCTTGGGAATTGTTTGTTTGCTGGGTGTTTGTTCTGGAAAGGATTTGCCTGGTTCTCTGTAATATTGCAGTACTGTTTCTCTGTGGAATATTTATCTTTTGAATGTCCTTGAAACAGACAGAAAAGTTCAAAAGAGTGATTGCTGTGTAGGAAATGTACCTACTAAAGGTATTGGAATGAGTAATGAAACCCAAAACTGGTATTTATGAGTTTAGACAGGAGGAAGCTGCAGCTTCATTGGATGACACTAAGGGTAGACATACATTTCATATATATTAATTAAGAAAGGTGTGTAGTGTTTGTGGAAAGGCATCTTACTGGAAAACAGTTTCCAGGTGCTTCTAGAAAAAACTCCAGCTATCCCATTATTCAACTTGTTGTTCAGAGATTGGCTGGTCATTCTTCTGAAGCAAATGGAGATAGTTTTTCACAAAGCTGAGTCCAGCATTGTGTGTACTTTGTCTTTTCTGAAGTTTCTATAAAAAAAAAAGTGTTATTCTGTTATATGGTGTATCTGTATATTAAAAATGCCTATCCTTTTAAGGGTGTCTAGGAGAAGATAAATATACTATACAGTAATGCTAATAATTAAATTTGTAAAAGAACTGCTTTTTGGTAGACTAACACACAAATACAATTCCAGCAGTGGCTGTTTCTCATTAGTTAGAATGACATGCCAGCTTTAGAATATGTAATGATGTATAAGCCCTGGTGGTTATAATTGGCATAGAAATGTACTATATCCTTGGGTGTTAAAAGCCATAAGCTATTTATTTTTGTACTTACAAAGACTGTACTACATTGTGGTATAAATCTCACATGTATGTCACAATTGCATTTTTTTTAGTAATTTATGTCCATATGGTTCAAATACAAAGCTGTTCCCCTTATTAGTATCCTGCTGGTGACATAATGTACTGATAAATTAGTATCTCATGTCTGGAAAGTCTGTTTGAATTCAGATATCATGCAAAAGAAACTTAAACCCACCTGTCTTCCTGATATAAGTGGCCTGGTTGTGATGAAGATTTTGTAATACATGAGCTTACACAGTATAGTAGTGATATGCTTGCAAGAAACTTGGTTATTGGCTGTGGTATCCA